TCTCATTTTTTCTCCCTGAACACGAATATATGGAGTTGGAGTTGAGGTCGATGGAGCGTCAGGGGGCCCACGAGGCAGGGGGCGCGCCCCCACCCTCGTGGACAGGTTGTGGGCCCCCTGACGTGGATCTTTTGTTCCAGTATTTTTTATATATTCCAAAATAATTCTCCGTTGATTTTCAGGTCATTCCGAAAACTTCTATTTCTGCACAAAAATAACACCATGGCAATTCCGCTGAAAACATCGTCAGTCCGGGTTAGTTCCATTCAAATCATGCAAGTTAGAGTCCACAACAAGGGCAAAAGTGTTTGGAAAAGTAGATATGACAGAGACGTATCAGTGGCACATCATGATCGACTTCATGATCTGAGTTACATCGGATGAAAGTAAAGTACACAAGGGATACTGCTTTGAGAATTCTTTTATGGACTAGAGCAAGTCTATGGACTAGAGCAAGTCTCTAGATAGTGACATTTAAAGTTAGAAGAATCAGATGTTATTTTGGGTTAAAGAAAATGAGAGGACAATTGTATTCATGCAAAGTTATAGAATAGGGAATTCATTCTAATCCTGTGCATGTGGATGACGTCCTACTTGATAGTGGTCATGTCAATCTACTGTAGGAGGAGAAAAGAATTTCTTGTCCTCAAAGTTCAAAAGAATGTTCTCGGTAGTGTGTTTCTCATTATAATTATTGAGATTCATGAAGAAAAGAATAAAAAGGGGGTATTAGGAAAGTCTCATGGACATGCTAAGAAAGGTCTCTAAAGTAGGCATGTGAGAAAACCTACGCCTATTCTTATAGTCAAGGGTAATGGAACTCGAAACTTTGGTGTTCCAAAAATTGATGAGAAAAGATTGAAAATGGACATGGTGCCATATGCTTCAACTGTTGGAAGCTCAATATATTACACAGTTCATGTATCCGGTTTTTTTTGGCAATGTCCAGTCCATATATAGATCACTGGAATGGAGTCAAAGATATTGGCCTCATGCTAAAAGAAATAAGTTCTCTCAAAAGATTGTGAGTACAAAGACATGACTTGTGAAATGTATAGCGAAATCCACAATTGTCGCCAACTTTCACACTTGGAGTTTTTGTGTGGAAAAGCTCCAAAGAATGAAACAATTATCATCAATGTGATGCAAAAACATGTTATAGCTTGATATGAGGCTGAGGGACAGGCAAAAATGGTTAAGAAGACCTGTACCTGGAGTAGATGGTTGACAACAGCGATAACCATTTTAAGTTTTCACTCCTATGACAACGAGTCAAGTGTTGATGCCAAACACACTGACCCAAAGTTATGCATCGTAAAGGAGAAAGTCCGGAATTATGTAGAAATGCTTGAAGTATAAAAGCAACAGACAAGTGTTTGCAAAGCTGCTTATTGCTTACCACCTAGTGTGTTTGGAGAACACACAGTCGACATGGGTTTTATTGTATAGTCTAAGATTTCCGGACAATAAAAGGGCCCAAGGTTAAAGAATCTGTTTCAAAACAGAGGAGTGTGTTGTAGGTGTTGATTCTATCGGGGATAGACCGTGATGATGAGACATGCTCTATGATACATCTCCAACGTATCTATAATTTACGAAGTATTCATTCTAATATATTATCATTCTTAGATGTTTTACAATCATTTTATAGCAACTTTATATCATTTTTGGGGACTAACCTATTGACCTAGTGCCCAGTGACAGTTGCTGTTTTTTGCTTGTTTTTTACATCGCGGGAAATCAATATCAAATGGAGTCCAAACACCGCAAAACTTTTTGTTGATTTTTTATGGACCAAAAGACCACCAGTGGGCCAGAGCAGCACCTGGGGGGTGCCCCAAGGGGGGCACAACCCACCAGGGTGCGCATGGGGGCCCAGGCGTGCCCAGGTGGGTTGTGCCCACCTCAGTGGCCTCCCGCACCCCTTTTACCCTATAAATTCACAAATATTCCGAAATCCCTCGGGGTTACCCTAGATAAGAATTTCCACCGCTGCAAGGCTCTTTAGCCACCAAAAACTAATCTAGACCCCATTCCGGCACTCTGCCGGAGGGGGAAATCATCTCCGGTGGCCATCTTCATCATCCCGACGGCCACCACGATGAGGAGGGAGTAGTCCACCCTCGGGGCCGAGGGTTTGTACTAGTAGCTATGTGTTTAATCTCTCTCTCTCTCTCTTTCTCTCTCTCTCGTGTTCTTGAGATGTCACAATCTTGATGTATCGCGGGCTTTGTTAATATTGTCGGATCATATGGTGTTTTCCCCTCTCTATCTTGTGATGAATTGAGTTTTCCCTTTGATATTTCGTTGTTATCGGATTGAATACTTTTATGGATTTGAGAGCACTTGATATATGTCTTGCATATGAATACTCGTGGTGACAGTGGGGTATCGTATTGATTCACTTGATGTATGTTTTGGCACTCAACTCGCGGATTCCCGAGGTGATATTGGGTAATCTATGCATAGGGGTTGATGCATTCTTGTGTTTGTTTCTCTGGTAGAAATCTTGGGGCACTCTTTGAGGTTCTTTGTGTTGGATTAAATATTATCTGAATTTGCTTTGGTGTTATTTTAGTACGAACTCTTGGTTAGATCGATCGGAAAGAATAGCTTCGTGTTATTTTAGTACGAACTCTAGGATAGATTGATCGAAAAGAATAGCTTTGAGGTGGTTTCGTACCCTACAAATAATTCCTTCTTATGTTCTCTGCTAGATAGGAACTTTTGAGTGATTCTTCGTTGCACGTTGAGAGATGGTTATATGATCCAATTATATTAGCATTGTTGAGAGATTGTACTAGTGAAAGTACGGACCCTAGGCCTCATTTTTAAGCATAGCAATACCGTTTTTGTGCCGTTTACTATTTGCTGCCTTGCTATTTTTATTTATTCATATTATAAAATATATTTCTAACACCCACATTACACTTTTATCACCATCTCTTCGCTGAACTAGTGCACCTATACAATTTGCCATTGTATTACGTGTGTTGGGGACACAAGAGATTTCTTGTATTTGGTTGTAGGGTTGTTTGAGAGAGACTATCTTCATCCTAAGCCTCCCACGGATTGATAAATCTTAGGTCATGCACTTGAGGGAAAATTGCTGATGTCCTACAAAACTCTGCGCTTGAAGGCCCAACACGTGTCTACAAGAATAAATTTACATAATAGACACCACTCTACATGCAAATCTGTGATGGAACGAATACTTTAAAAAGAGTTACTTCAAAGTATAAAGTTAAAAGTATATGATGAGATCATGGGGGAGAATGTTAGATTGATTTCTTCCCAATGGGCCCCAATGGCCCATTGAACCCTTGCCCCACGCCCTGATCGGATGCGTCCAGCCCAAGCAAGGCTTGTGGGCCCCTGTCGTGCAGTGCCACATAAAGGTGGGGACCACGGCACAAGGTACGAGGTTCGCCGCCGCCACGGTCCACTCCTAACCCTAGTCCGATCGTGAGGGATGCGCTGAAGCGATGGGAAGCCCACCGACGCCATCAGCCACCTCGCAGTTTCCCTCTATTGCCCATGCGCGGACCTTCACCGACGAACCAGCGATGGCCGGAAGGCTAAGGTACACACACGAATACAGATCATATCCCACTAATCCACACCTAGGTGATCCTGTATTCTCAACAGTGTTATTTTGCGCAATATGATTGTCGAGCATGAGGGTGATGGTGTTGCCCAAACCAATGATTTTGAAGCACCTGGAGAACAAGTTAAAATCCCGGAAGATCAAAGATGCAACTCAGCTTATGAACTTTCTACAAATGCATCAGAATCTTCGAGATCATCAGGTGCACACGCAGCTACTCAATGATCTTGTTAAGCATATGTGAACCCATAATGGAAACCAAAGAGCTGATGTTTGAGTTGTACACTAAAAATAAATTTTTATGTAAACACTATTTATGCTCGGTACCGACATTTGTTATTTACGTGCGACATTGGCTTGTATGATCGACATGTATGAATTTAAGAGTCTGAATTTGAGATATGTGAATACTGAGATGAAGTATAATGACCTATTCATAGATGCGTCCGTTGGCGTGCCCGGGCGTGTCCGCAGGGACGTATATGAGGCCGAATTTGCCTTCCGGCTGTAGATAACTCTTTCTCATGATCGCGTAAACGGAATCCAAACCCCCAGCAGGAAGTACAGCTACCGCGGTGAGAAAAAAAAGTAGTACCACTGCGGTGCGCAAGATATTATCGAGGGCCCACCCGGCGGAAGCGCCAACCACCCAGCCCCGCACCGCCGCACCACAAGCCCCACGAAGCCCAGAACCACACGCTCCCGCGGCCCCCGCCCCCACCCCTCCCCAGCCGCACGATTTTAAAACCGGATCGAAAGCCACCCATCCGCGGCGCGCGCGCCTCCCGACCCAACACGTGTCCCCGGCGCCAGCCGCGGATCGGGGCTCCCCTCCCGCGCGGCCTACCACGTGCCCCCGCGGGCCCGGCAAAATATCGCCTGATCCTCTCCCCTCCCCCTCCTCGCCGAATCCGGGCGAATAGGAGATGCTTGCTCCCCCTCCTCGCCAGGCATGGGCGGACCGCCCGCTGGCCGAACCACTGGCCCAGCCGGCGCCACGCACCTTGGCCGCGATCCCGCGCGGGCGGGCGCGCCGCGTGACGTGGCGGCCCCGCCCGCCGGTCGAGCGCGCGCAGATATTTTCTCTTCCCCCGAGGCGCGCGCCCACTCACGTGCCGCGTCCCCACCCACTGGCTCTGCGGGCCCCGGCGGCCCCCGGCCCACCTGTCGGCATCGCGGGGCGTCGGGGCTATATAGCGCCGCTCCGCCGCGGCCGCTTAGTTTTAATCGTCTCCATCGCGACTCCACTGGCATTTCGATCCCGATTTCGAAGCTTCCAGCGATCCGGCGTCAGGAGAAGAAGAAGCTTTGGTGGTGGTGGAGGCAAACTTGATCTGCGAGCTGAGGCGGCCGGGCTCCGGCGAGGGGATATAATCAGACAGAACCGCCCGGGATGGTGCGCGGCGGCCAAGGACAAGGAGGAGGAGGGGTGGAGGAGAGGGAGGTGGTGAACGTGGACCAGGACGGGAGGGAGGAGGAGGTGCGGCGGGCGCTGCCGATGATGCCCGTCAGGGTGCTGCTCGCCGAGGGCGACGACTCCACGCGCCACGTCATCTCCGCGCTGCTCCGCAAGTGCGGCTACCACGGTGCGCACATCGACTACCCCCCATCGATCCATCCATCCATCGGCCGCCGCAGCTTTTGTTCATTTGTCGAGTCGGTAGTTCGAATCGAGGTCCGGTTGGTGGTCTGCGGGCAGATCGGGAGGTGGCTGCCGGTTTTACAGAGTTCGACTTCGTATGAGTGTTTCGCCATGGTGGCGCGGTAGGTAGGAATAGGAGATGCTTGCTCTGGTCTGATGGCTCGTGATCCACTTCCGAGTAGCCTTACGAAAAGTTCGACAGATATGCTACTTCTGGTGTCTACTGCCTAGAGATGACACATGACAGCTCTGGTGTTGATATTAGATCCCTTAGTCTGTTTTTTCTTCTTCTTCAAAATACCTGAAAATTGCTCTGTAGCCATCGAGCACGGTTTGAACGCTTTAATCCCTGGTGTTAATTTGTGCTTAAGATTAACTGAACATAATTACTCACACGGCCATACCCAAGTCGTGTTAGCATGATTTTTAGCACAGTCAAACATATGTTGAAATTGTACGGTTTTCTTCAGAATGATGCAAAGTTGTTATTTATTTTATTTTTCAACATGTTGTGCGCTTTTAATTTGTTTGTTCTTCTAGATCTTTTGTCACGATTTTAGCAGAGGCTGTCATATTTCCTCGGGCTTACGTTTCATATTGTTCTTGCAGTTTCTGCAGCTTCTGATGGTGTCAAGGCCTGGGAATTACTAAAGGAAAAATCGTTCAAAATAGATCTTGTCCTCACTGAAGTTGAACTTCCTTTGATGTCTGGGTTCCTCCTACTCTCCACCATCATGGAACATGACGCGTGCAAGAATATCCCTGTCATAAGTATGTGCCCAGACTATATCAGTCTCGTTTCAGTTTTTAGATTCTACTCCTGCAGCTTAGTCTAATGCTAATTTTTTTTCTGCCTATGCAGTGATGTCTTCGAATGATGCAGTTAGCATGGTTTTCAAATGCATGCTGAAGGGCGCAGCCGATTTTCTTGTCAAGCCGATACGAAAGAACGAGTTACGGAACTTGTGGCAACACGTTTGGAGAAAACAACTTGTAAGATCACATACTTGCATCTTTTTATCACAATTGTTTCTTTCTCTATTTTATTGGATTAGAACTTTGATCCGTTTCCTTCACTGGAGTTGACCACTAAAACCTCTGTGACACTATTTTACAGGCAAATGGTGAGATCGATGTGCAGCAGATACAACAAGAAGAGAATGTCGCAGAACAGCATGGGCAAAAGACTGAAGTGACAAAAGATGAACATCCAACTCAAAATGTGGTCCGTAAAAATAGAGAATGCAGTGAACAAGAAAGTGACGCTCAAGTAAGTTTAGCAGAAAACATAATTTTGCATTATTTTTTAAGCGCTGGTTGTTTTGATGTAACATGGAATCAGCGATTTCCTCTTGTCTATGAGCCATCATTCTTAAAGTACCTGATAGCTAGTAGTAGAAACTATGGGCCATCAGTGATTTCCTCTATGTTGAACCTAAAGATGTTGCTGCTGCTTTGCATAAACTAAGTATTGGTATTCCTCATGCAGAGTTCTTGCACAAGATCAGAACCAGAAGCTGAGAGCAAGCACACCAACAGTTTCTTGGAGTTTAAGCAGATAACAGAAAGGCAATCATCTACTGACCCCAAAAACGCTGTGGAAAATAGAGACCCTGAAAACCCTAGTGATAATAAGCGCAAGAAAGCCTCGACAGGTATCGAGGTAGTCCATATAATTGATGATGAACCGAAGCCTAGCACACCGATGGAGGTGGATATTGTGAGAACAAACTCTCAAGGAAACGGCGATAAGTGGTTCTCCATCCCAGCTCATCAGTTGGAGCTTTCTCTCAGAAGATCTGACTATGGCAGAACAGAGGACCAAGAGAAAAATGATACGAGAACCCTGAACCACTCAACTTCATCTGCCTTTTCATTGTAAGTGTACCTTTTGTTTTGCCTGCTCTGGTATCAGTGCTTTTGTCATCCATACATAGCTGTAAGCTTAGCTTAAATCTAGTGCTCTCTGGTTGAAGTATTTGTTCCCATGTATATTTTCATCATTTATTTACGAGCATGGTGAGGGGACTGTTTAATTCAGTTTGTCAGGATGTGTTATTGCAAGCATAATAGGAAGAATTTAGTGGTCATGCCACAAACCTTGGCATGGAACTTCTTGCAGTGCCTTAACTACTGCAACTTGATGCATCATTTACTTGTTTCACAGTTACACAAGAGTACATAGGAGATCCTATTGTTGTTGAGCTAGAAAGACATCTTACGGTCGAAATTATTACTTGTTCACAGGTACAACTGTAGGCCTATATCCTCTTTTGGTAACGCTGGTGATGCTCAGCCATGCAGCACCTCAGCAACACACGCAGATCTGGAAAACAAAAATGGAGATTCGGCAGCTCCCTTTCAAGACAAGGCCGACCCAATCTGCCATCCTATCAGAGTTGTAGCACTTCCTGTTCCAGTTGGAGGCCTCACGTTTGACGGGCAGCCATTCTGGAGTGGTGCACCTGTGGCACCCCTTCTCTATCCACAGTCAGGTCCTCCTATTTGGAATAGCAGAACTCCAGTGTCGCAAGAGGTGGACACGCAAGCAACTTCATCGCAGCAGAATGATCTGGCAGAGATGGACTGTCAGCAGACTGAAAGCACACAGCGACAAGAAGTGCTACCTCCACCGACTGCAAATGAAAAGCATCTGCACGTTGAAATCCCCTCAGACAGCAACCCTCAGCAGGTTTCACCCATGGCTGGCGAAAGCGGAAGCGGAAGTAGTACTGTGTTGAACAACTCTTTGAACAACTCTGGCAATGCTCTCAGTGGCAGTGCCTGTGGAAGCTCTTCCAACCGGATCGCCACTCCTACTGAACAGTGTAACGCATCTGACAGTGCTACTGAAAATCCTAGCATGGAGGGCTCGCATCAGCTGAGCCAACGTGAGATTGCACTGAACAAGTTTCGCCTCAAGAGGAAAGAACGGTGCTTCGAGAAGAAGGTAGGCACAAGAACTAATCTTACCTACTTGGAGGAGCTGGGGTTTACATTCTTTTCCATTATTGCGCAGGTGCGGTACCAGAGCAGGAAACTACTTGCAGAGCAGCGTCCCCGGGTGAAGGGTCAGTTTGTTCGGCAAGATCCGAACATCCAAGCAAGCTAGGTATATCACCACAGGTGACAACCGTTTGCCGTGCTGCGCCTACTGGGTGTTCTGGTCGTCGGCGTGTTCTTTGAAAGTGTGGAGATCAACTATCAACCTTTCTTTCTTGTATGCTTAAGCCTGTTCCTACGTATACGCTGACTTGTTGTAGATTAGCTCGTACATAGTAGAATTCGTCAGTAGGCAGCTAGAGAACACACTGCCTGACTTGGTACATGTTTGCTGTTTACGTTGTTGCACTCTGTGACTGTGGTTGCAAAGGTGCCAGTCAAGGATGTCCTAAGACACGCTTTTGTGTGCTTTCTTGAACTGAGCATCGTTGCTGCAGTTTAGTTCACTGCCTCAGCAAAATGCTGTCGTCTTTCCGTACTAGATGGATTCATTTTATATTCAAAGGCAGTTTGTAATTTTTCGTACATTTGACTGAACTTCTGGCCATGTATGGACGATGGCTCGGCAAGTTCTTGCGTGATTTGTCTGTGTAAATTACCGGCCGCTTGAAGTTTGAGGCACTGTTCAGATACGGTCTGTTCCGATGATCGCTTGTCAGTTGGGATGGCAACTTTTTTTCTATTGAAGGAAAGCCATTCGGCAAACTTCATTACTCCCTCCGTGTCTCATAATATAAGAGTGTTTTAAAACACGCACTTGTATTATGGGACGGAGGGAGTAAATCATAACAAAGTTGTGCCCGACTCCGGCGAGGGAGGGGTGATGACGGCGGCACGCCTTCGGCTCGTTTTAGTGATTGTAGTCGTCGCTAGGTGGTCTACGGATCTGGATGTAATTTTTATTATTTCTAGTGTTCGTTGTACTACCGTGATGGAAGATGAATAGATTGAAAGTTTTCTCGAAAAAAAGTTACATCATTTATTCCCCCGGAAAAAAAAGTTACATCATTTATTACATCCGACTGAATAATGACAGAACGATCCACGTTTCGATACAAATTTGAGTTTGAATCTAACAAAATCAAGCTAATTTGTGTGTCACTACATTAGCTTCCTTCAAACAATGATGATAAGTAGCCGAACCAAGGTTATAAGCTCTCTCAAAGATACCCATCTCCAACTAGATAAATCTCTAATTAATCTTTTGGGGCTTCTACTCTTACATAAAGCTCTTGCCTTACTAAAATAGTTGTGTATGGATTCCAGATTTAACAGTTGAAAAGAGACGGGCAATATATTTTAACACTCCTCTTCACGTCTAGGCTATTTTAGTCTGAAAGGATGTAGGCGCAGAAACTTTTCTTAATATCATGTTGGTAGTGTCTTGAACTTGAGACTTTTTTATTTCAATATCATATTGAATTCATGCTCCAGCCAGCTACTTCAAGAGTTCAAACAGTTTGAGTTGATGAGAGAGGCGAGCAATATATTTCAACATCATGTAACTTCACCAACCTTCAATGGGTCAAACTCCATAAGAATATTTCTACAACCCGAATTTTTACCTAGTTCCAAAATCTTTTTGAATCGTCGTGGCATCTACCGTTAAAGGTTACTAAACTTACATAGTTAGTTCCAAAACCTTTTTGAATCATCGTGGCCTCTACCATTGAAGGTTACTAAAGTTACATGGTGTTGGAATATATTCGGGGCCGTATAATCGCTACAGCAGCTCCCGAGCCATCCAAAAAGCACGTAGCATCCACATTTCGCTTATAATGATTACTAGAAGGTTTCGCCTCCTTTGTCGTTCTGGCTATGCCTTCCCATAATTCGTAGTGCTGCTTTGAATTACCATGATGAACTAGTGGATTAGTAGCAGTGCAAACTGGTAAATCCTATATGACACTCTCTGCTTCAAACTATTAGCAAGATGCACATAGGAGGTACCGAACGAACTAAATGTGCCAGCCCAATTCAGTGCAGTGTAGTCTGATGAAATACGGTTTTGGGAACCTACTGGGATCCGGTCCGGTCTTTTCTTATTTTTTATTTTCTGTTTTTCTTCGTGTTTTCCATTTCGTTATTTACCTTTTTATGTTGTTTTGTTTTCTGAAAATTTTCTTTTCAAATATGTTTGGAACTTTAAATAAATGTTCAACAATAAATAAATTGTGTTTCAGATTTCTAAATTGCTCACGTTTAAAAAAATCTGAATTCGAAAAATTGATTGCCAATTATATAAATTGAATGTCCGACATTTTTAAAAATGTCCGGGATTCTGAAATTTGCTGATGTTTTTCCAAAAATGGAATTTCATAATTGTTCAAAGATTTCAGAAAAAAACAGTTTCCTAAAATGTTCTTTTCGAAAAATGTTGAAAAAAGTTTCGTATTTAATTGTGTTTCAACTTTTTGGTAAAATTTCCATGTCTTCAAAAGATATCTCAAATAATATTCCCCTTTTTAAAAATATTCTTTTTATTGTTTCAAAAATGAATGGAAAAAGTAGTACATTGCTCAAGGTAACTACAGAGTGCCACTTGCTACAGTATGACTCACTGCATGGGCCGGCCCAGGTGAGGCGCCTTCGAGGGTCTTTCCAGCAGGCGCTCGCGGGGGCGCTGGAGCGCATCGCTTGCTGTTTTTTTTTCTCACATTTTCAATTTCTTTTTTGCTTTTGTTTGTTTTTCCTAGGTTTTGATGGAACTTTTTAGGAAGACGTGCTTTTGCGAGAAGCACTCAAAGAAAAAGATAAGGCGCAATCTGTGCTTCTACAAGAAGGAAAAAAATACACAGCTATGCTTCTCTAGAAAAAACACAATTTGTGCTTTGGTGAGAGACACAACTGTGCAACCCAAAAAGGGAAAAACACAACTGTGATTCCTTTAAAAAAAAAAGAGAAGCTTGGTTGTGATAACCGAAAAGAGAGAAGCACGGCATGTGCTTCCGCGAGAAGCACAACCGTGCTTCCTGAAAAGGAAAATGCATAGATGTGCTTCCTAAAAAATTGATAAAGCAGAATTGTGCTTCTAGGTATTTTTTTTTAAGATTTTTTTACGGTTTTCATACATTTTTATTTTTATTTTTACGGTTCCTTTTTTTAATTTTTTGTGAAATAAGTTTGTCCAAACCTATTAACACGGGGTCTAGTTTCAAACATCTTAACGTGAGAAATCAAACGGTGAAAACGGTTCATAATTTAGACGCATGACTTACGAGTTAAAATATTTTTAACTGAAAAAAATCTTCCAAATTGCGAAAAATGACGCACATACAGTGCCCCATTTGTCAACGGCAGGAAGGCGGGGAGTGATCTTTGCATACCCTTTTGATTGTTGATTTCGCCTCTAACGGCATTTGGATCAGCTCCATGGGCCAATTTGGGCCAGGTCCGGGCTGGAGTGGGCCGCCCTGTTCCCATTCCTACCTGCACGGCCCAGTCCATCGCCACTGCCGAGCACACAGCAAGCTGCTTCACTTCTCTCTCTCAAAAGAACTTCTCTCTCTAAAAAAAAGCAAGCTGCTTCGCTGTTGGCCTCCGATGGAGCGCCCAACGCGCGCGTACCACGCAGCATTGCAGCTACGCATGCTGCCTCTCTCGCGATCCGACGGCGGCACGCGGATGCGGTGCTGTGCACGGAACGCCAAAGCAGAAAGCCAGGGGCCGGCGGCGTCGCGCCAAAACGGCCACCATAAAGCTCCGGGCAAGGCACCAAAGTCCGGCGCAACGAACGGCAGTTCGATGGAGTCCTCCAAGAAGAACCTCTGCGAGATCCACCGCGGCGACGGACGCCGCAGGCGCGCCCTCGCCGCCTCCCTCCTCGCCACCGCGGTCTTCGCGGCCATCATCGCGCTCGCGCTCTTCCTCGTCTACCGCCCCGCGAAGCCGCAGGCCACCGTGGCGCGCGCCGGCGTTTACCGCCTCGTGAGCGCCGCGGCCGCCAACGGCACCAACAGCTCGGCGGCGACGCCCTACGCGCTCTCCGCCACCGTGCAGTTCACGCTGCTGCTGCACAACCCCAGCGACCGCACCGCCGTGGTCTACGACCGGCTCCTCGCCTACGTGACGTACCGCGGCGAGATGGTGGCCCCGCCGGCGCAGCTCCCGCTGGTGCTCCAGGACCCCGGCGCCGACGTGGCGATGTCGCCGCTGCTGGGAGGCGACGGGGGCGCCCCCGTGCCGGTGTCGGCGGACGCGGTGGACGCGCTGCACGCGGACTGCGTGGCGGGGCGCGTGCAGCTCCGGCTCGTCGTAATGGGGCGGGTCAGGTATAGGTCCGGGCCCTTCAAGAGCGCGTGGCGCGACCTGTACGTGCGGTGCGACGCCATCCTCGGCCTGACCGTGCAGGCAGCCGCCGGAGGCGGCGGCGCCGGGGACGTGCCGCTGCTCGAGTACCCGAAGTGCGCCGTGGACGCCTGAGTTTGTTTCGCGCCAGATCTGGCAAGTTTGAGTGGGCAATAACAGAATAATGAGCTGAGGAACAAAGCATAATGTTTCTTTTGGGGGCCAGCTAATTTCAGGGGTGCCTTGTCATTTCTAACTTTGTCGTGCAAAATGCGCATGGTTTCACATTGACATCAAAGTGTGAAGTTGTGGGTGAACCGGCCGTGGTTGGGCTAACCGTGGGCGAGGCAATGCCGGCGAAGGCTTTCTTCTATGCTTATGCTTAGAGCATCTCCATCTGTTGGCCTCCCGGGAGGCGCTAAAAATCGCCCTCTAGTGGCGCACCGGCGCAAAACGCGCGCTGGGGGTGTGATGCCATCCAGTCACGGTGCCTACGGAATTTTTTTTAAACGGCATAAACACGGCGCAAATTCAACCATTTTCGGCGAGTTCATACATATTTCGGCGACTTCAAACCAAATTCAACCAAATACGGCACAAACACGCCCACTCGTACATATTTAAAATATTTTACAAAAAAAGCACACTACTAGGCCCGCCCGCCGTCTCGCTCGCCTCGCCGCTCCTCGCCGGCCGCCGCCCTTGCAGTTCTACATGCCGAGGAGGCTGTAGAACCGCGTGTAGTCGCCGCCGCCTCCGCCGTGCCCGCCGTCCCTGCTGCAACCCTCCCCCGGTTGGCGCGACGGGTTGGACGGTCCGGCG